ATTCAATAGAGATAGACAGATGTGTGTGTATGTATATGTACGTGTATACGTATGTATGTGTATAGAAGATAGATAGATAGATAGATAGATAGATAGATAGATAGATAGATAGATAGATAGATAGACAGACAGACAGACACATACACACACACGCACACACATACATACAGTATATATATTTATACCATTACTCGCTGCTTTCAGCCTAAAACTCTGATATGGGGATAAGCCAGGAACAGGGGGGGGGGGAATTTCCCCAAATCTCAGCTTATCCACCAAATCCTATAAATAGGCCCTCCTGAAGAGGAACTAACCTGGGCAGGAAACGTGAAGTTTTTCCCAAGACGGAGACCAACAAGCCATTCTTCAGACTGGCTTTCCAAAGGAAAGGGGGGGGGGGGAAATAGTCTTAACAGGACACTTTGTCCACTCAGCTCCAGTTCCGGCCGTGGCCCAAAGTCCCTTCTGGCCGGGAGATTGACAGGATCCTTGGGTCCTCCCTGGGGGTCATTTCCCTTCTGGCTTCCCAGCATTGTTCAGTGGAGATGGCCGCTTTCCCCCTCAAAAGGCTCTTCCTGTTGCCTTTGGGCTGGCCATGCTGGAGGGACCAGCGCCCCAGCGTCTCCCAAGGAGCCCCCGAAGAGAGACTCGCCCCTGCTGAGTGCCAGGGACCAGGAGAAGGGACACATACGCCCCCTCCATCCACCATGGGGGCTGCATCCTTTCCTTTTTTTGAAGGGACATTTCAGTTTCTCGCCTGGCCCAGGGAGACAATCCAGTCTGACCCGGCTTTTGGCATCAGGTTTTAATTTCTGCAGGCGACCAAGGAAAGTCAAAGTGGTGGGGGAAAAACGTAGCTCGAGGTTGAAATGAGGGCTCCTTGGGGCTGAAGGCTTTCTTGCAGACATTGCATGACCCAGCTAGGGAATATCATCAGGCTAGAAGGGTGGGTGGGGGAGGTTGTGGAGAGGAAGAGGGGAGGAACGGGGGAAGGAATTGGACTGAGAGGTCCTTGGTGAGCTCTGAGCTCTGTTGTTTTCTGGCAGACGTTTCATGGCCCAGCTGGGGAACATCATCAGTGCTAGAAGGAAGCGGGGTTTGTGAGGAGGAGGAGGAGGAGGAGGAGGAGGAGGATTGTGGGGTCCTTGATCCTCTATGATCTTGGTGGTTTTCTTGCAGAGGTTTCATGACCCAACTAGGGAACATTATCAGTGCTAGAAGGAAGAGGATTTATGAAGGAGGAGGAGGAGGAGGAGGAGGAGGAGGAGGGGGAGGAGGGGGGGGAGGAGGGGGGGGGGGGGGAGGAGGAGGAGGAGGAGGAGGAGGAGGAGGACTGTGGCATCCTTGGTCCTGAACTTGGCTGCTTTCTTGCACACATTTTACGACCCCACTAGGAAACATCAATGCTAAAAGTGAGTGGAGTTTGCTCTCGTTTTATGTACATAAATACATACATATATTCACACACAAACACACACACACACACACACATATATATACACACACATACACATACACATACATACATATATACATACACGTACTTTATATGTATTGCTCTCATTTTATTTATAGACATATAGCAATACCACTTCCCGATGCTTTCCAGCCCTCTCCAAACAGTTCACAGAGTAGCTTCTTGCCCCCAGCAATCTGGGTCCTCATTTGACCGACCTTGGAAAGATGGAAGGCTGAGTCAACCTTCAGCCGGTGAGAATCGAACTGCCAAATTGCAGGCAGCAGAAGTAGCCTGCAGGACTGCATTCTAACCACTGCGCCATCATGGCTCATAGATAAAGATATAGATATTCATATTTTATACATGTATAAAATGAGAACAAACACCATTCTCTAGCACTGAAGATGTTACCTAGTTTCGGTCATGAAACATCTGCAAGGAAACCACCCAGCTCTGAGAGCACCCAGGACCCCACAGTCCTCCTCCTCCTCCTCCTCCTCCTCCTCCTCCTCCTCCTCCTCCTCCTCCTCTTTTCATATCCCATTTCCTTCTAGCACTGATGATGTTCCCTAGTTTGGTCTTGAAACATCTGCAAGGAAACCACCCAGCTCAGTTAGCACCAAGAAAAATATATCCATTCCCATTCCTGCCCACTTTTCCTAGAGGGAGAGATTTGATCCAAACTGCAGCTGGACAGGCAGACAGACAGACAGACAGACAGACAGACAGACACACACACACACACACACACACACACACACACACACACGGTGCTGTGTCCCCTCCCCACAGCTGACTCTCTTGAAATTCAGGTGCAAATTCATGACCCGTTTCCAGAGAAGTCCAGTGTTTTGAGCCAGGTGAGTTTTCGCAACTTTCCTTTTACCTTTTTAAGTAATTTTAGCCGTGTCCCATCAACCTTGCCTCCTTCCAAATTTTTCATTTTTGCACACTGTTTTTAATATATTTTAACATTTGATTGGACCCCGCCCCTGGTCCCTCTCCGAGGGAGGTGGACGGTTCAAAAATGTGAAAAACAAATAAATAGTGAATAAACAAACAAATAAACAAACGCCTTGGACAGGAGCCTCCTTCCAAATTCCCCAGAGCTTAGCTAAATCCTTCTCTTGCTGGGAATATTTGCTTCTCCTGTGAGCCATCCGGCTATTTTTAAGCTCCTTTTCTTGGCAGCTGTCGGTGGATTCTCACTACGGCAAGATTTTGAATTTGGCAGGGGTGACGCAGGCATCACTTTGGAAGCAAGGGAGTGTTAGAATAGAGCTGGGAGGGACCTTGGAGGTCTTCTAGTCCAGCCCCCTGCTCATACAGGAAACCCTACACCATTTCAGACAAATGACTGCCCAGTCTCTTTTTAAAAACCTCCAGTGATGGAGCACCCACAACTTCTGGTGACAAGGAGTTCCACTGCTTAATTGTCCTCACTGTTAGGAAGTTTCTCCTTAATTCTTGGTTGCTTCTCTCCTTGATTAGTTTCCATCCATTGTTTCTTGTCTTCTGGTGCTTTGGAGAATAAATTGATCCCCTCTTATTTGGGGCAGCCCCTCAAATACTGAAATACTGCTCTCACGACACCCCCAGTTCTTCTTTTCATGAAACTAGCCAAACCCCAAATCCTGCAGCTGCTCTTCGTATGTTTTAGTCTCCAGGCCTTTAATCGTCTTACTTGCTCTTTTTTTCCAAAGTCTCAACATCTTTTTTGTAGTGGGAGTGAACAAAATTGGTTGCAGCATTCCAGGGGTGGCCTTACTAGAGCTTTATTAAGCGGTACTAGAATAGAATTCTTTATTGGCCAAGTGTGATTGGACACACAAGGAATTTGTCTTGGTGCAGGAATTTGTCTCAGTGTACATAAAAGAAAAGATATGTTCATCAAGAGTCAAGACTTATAAGGTGCAACACTTAATAATATTCATAGGGTACAATAAGCAATCAAATCATACTAGGAAACAGTCAATACAAATCATAAGGATAAAAGTGACAAAGTTACAGCCATACAGTCACAAGTGGGAGGGAATGAGTGATAAGGAGTGATGAGAGGATTAATAATAATAGTAGTGCAGACTTTGTAAATAGTTGGACAGTGTTGAGGGAATTAGTTGTTTAGCAGAGTGATGGCATTAGGGAAAAAACTGTCTTTGTGTCTAGTTGTTCTGGTGTGCAGTGCTCTATAGTGTTGTTTTGAGGGAAGGAGTTGAAACAGTTTATGTCCAGGATGTGAGGGGTCTGTAGATATTTTCACAGCCCTCTTTTTGACTCGTGCAGGATACAGGTCCTCGATGGAAGGCAGGTTGGTAGTAATTGTTTTTTCTGCAGTCCTAATTACTTTCTGAAGTCTGTGTCTGTCCTGTTGGGTTGCAGAACCAAACCAGACAGTTATAGAGGTGAGATGACAGACTCAATCATTCCTCTGTAGAACTGGATCAGCAGCTCCTTGGGCAGTTTGAGCTTCCTGAGTTGGCGCAGAAAGAACATTCTTTGTTGTGCTTTTTTGATGTTTTTGATGTTAGGTGTTCATTTTAGGTCTTTTGATATGATAGAACCTACAAACTTGAAGGTCTCTATTGTTGATACTGTGTTGTCTAGTATTGTAAGAGGTGGTATTATGGGAGGGTTTCTCCTAAAATCTACCACCTTTTCTATGGTTTTGAATGTGTTCAGTTCCAGATTGTTCTGGTTACACCACGAGGCAAGTTGTATAACCTCCTGTCTGAATGCGGATTCGTCGTTGTCTCGAATGAGACCAATCGTGTTGTGTCATCTGCAAACTTCAGTATTTTAACAGATGGATCATTTGAGATGCAGTCTTTGATATATAGGGAGAAGAGAAGTGGAGAAAGCACACAGCCTTGGCGGGGGCTGTGCTAATTGTACAGGAATCAGATGTTGAGAAATGCAGTTCGTATTAATTTCCAACGGATTCCAAAGAAACACAATCACCAACCTAATCCGAAAAGAGATACCCCCAAAAAACCAAGACACAGAACAAGACAACGGTATCGCACTCCTCCCCTACATCAAAGGCACCACAGACAAAATCAGCAAAATTCTCCACAAACACAATATCAGGACAGGCACTGACCAAAAAATAGCCAACATCCTAAGAAACCCCAAAGACAAGAGCCAGCTAGAAAACCAAGGAGTTTATGAAATACCATGCAACAATTGCCCAGCCACATACATTGGACAAACCAACAGGAGAATAAATGCACACATCGCAGAACACAAAAACTCAGTCAGAAGAGAAGAAAATACTTCCTCCCTCTTCCAGCAACTTAAAGCCGCAGGACATGAAATTAATTTTGAAGGAACCAAATTAATATCCAACACTGAACACTCCAGCAAGAGAATATTCAGGGAAGCCATTGAGAGAGAGAAACACCCCCATAACATGAATAGATGGGACGATACCTCCCGCCTACCAGACATCTGGAAGCTAGCCCTCACCAGCAAATGAGTCCCAGCCACAAAAACCAACACCAGACCCGAAACAACATGGGACACCACCGCCAATCCCCCTCATCAGACCCAGGCCCAAGCCCATCCTATAAACAAAGGACAACCACCATCCAGAAACCAGACCACGGCTGCTTCGCCAGCTGTCACACACCCTGACCCCAAAACCAAACAAACTGATACACGCCAAGAACACAGACCCAGACCCCAAACTCGAAGCCAGACTAAAACCCAGAATGCTACATCACGGCCACCCGCTCAGGATACCACATGAGAAAACTCAGGAAATTACACCACAAGAACTCAAGAAGTTGCTACACAGCAAATGACCCAGGATATCATAGCACAAGACCAAGGATACCACAGCAATAAATCTCACAAGGTCATCACACAACACATTACCCAAGCAGTTACAACACAGGAGGCTAATGGAAAAGAGATCAAAACACAAACGACCCAGGAAATTACAACACAGGACCCAGGATACCACAACAAAAGAACTCGCAAGCCCATCACACAACCCATTACCCAAGCCGTTAAAACATGAGAGGCTAATGGAAAAAAGATCACTACAAAACAAACGACCCAGGAGATTACAGCACAAGATCCAGGATGTCTCCACAACAAAACTCACAAGGCCATCACACAGCCCATTATACCAACATCAACTCCATCAACCAATCAAGAGGCAGCAGCGCAGCCAACCAGCCCAGCACACGAGCCCCCACCACCAGTATTTATAGAGAGACGGCAGCTCCAATCACACACTGCTTGCACTGTCACGAAGCCGAAAGCACCAGCCTGAGGATGGCGAGTGGGACCTCGCTGAAACGTCGCCAAGATACTCTTAAACTTACATGGGAAAAGACCCGAACACACACACACACACACACACACACACACACACACACACATATATATTATATATATATATTCAACTTTGTTCGGGTATTTTCCCATGTCATCATAGTTGTGCTTTTAAAGTTGTAGCAACGTTTCGGCAGAATCTCATCTGCCATCATCAGGCTTCTGTATTGTGTTCATCTGTGAGTCAGGCTTTTACAGTGGTTTCAGATTTAAATTTGGGGCAGCCTATTGCTGTGCCAGAATGGTTTTTTCTTCATCCTGATTGGTTGGGAGTCTTGGTCTGTGTTTATTGGTCTTGGAGTTTGCTGTGTTCTGCTTGATTGGTGTTTCTAATATCTTCTGTCTGTTTTGTAGCTTTTTTTGTCTTGATTGGCTGGCAACATTGTGTTCCTGTATTGGAGGCTTTTAGTGCGGCTGGGCTCCGAGTAAACAGACAGCTATCATTTATTAGGAAGCTAGGTTTCATCTGGGTGCCTGGTTGGGGTGTGTTTGAGCTGGAGGTATCGGGGGGATCTGTTTGTGCCCAGGTGTTTGCCTGGCTTGTGGTGTGGAGATTTTTTTGTTTGTGAGTGCAAATGATTGACAGTCTGGTGGAATCATCTCTTCTGTTCATGCTTTCTGGTCTTTTTTCAATCTCTATGGCTTCTCTGATGATTCTGTGGCTGGGGTTTTCTATAGTGGCTAGGGTTTTGGTGCCATTGGAGTCGATGCTATGACCTGTGGCTTTCATGTGTTGGACTAGTGAGGAAGTGCGTTCCAGCTTTTTTACTGCATTTTTGTGTTCATCTAGGCGGGTGCTTATTCTTCTATTAGTCTGTCCAATGTATGTGGCAGGGCATGATGCACAGGGGACTTCGTATATGCCTTGGTTTTCCAGGTCAATTTTATCTTTGGGGTTTCTTAGAATGGCTGCTATTTTTCTGTCTGTTTTGAAGGCTGCCTTGATGTGATGCCTGTGTAGTATCTTGCTGATTTTGTCTGTAGTACCTCTTATGTAGGGCAGGACAGCTGTTCCATAGGTCTGTTCATCTTCTAGGTCTCCATTATGTCTCAGTGTGTTTTTGTGGATCAAGCCGGTGATTTTGCTTTTGTGGAAGCCGTTGGCTGTCAGTACTTTAGTCAGGGTGCATAGTTCAGTCTTTATGTGTGTCTTGTCTGCCAGGCGTTTGGTTCTGGAGATTAGTGTTTTGGCCACGGAGTTTATCTGTGCTGGGTGGTGGTGGGATTGGGCGTTGAGGTAGCGGTTGGTGTGTGTTTTCTTCTGGTATATGGTGTGTCCTATATATATATATATATTTGCAAGGCTGAGCAGCGGCTGCAATAGCCTTGAAATACTTCCTCCTAAGCAGGTCAGGAAGCTCCTAGTGAGAGGAGTGCTCTGCACATGCTCAAGAGATGGTATTTGCAAAGTAAGAAGCAAACAGTCCAACACTCTTTAGGTCAGAGGGAGAACCAGCTAATAAACTCTGTAAAGCACAGAAAAACCGCAAGGAGGGCTTTGTTCACACCTTGGTGTTCGCCATATTGACTTTTTTGTGACACTGTTAGACATTATGCTTACATAAGCACCACACAGAGTAAACAAAGAGCACAGTCACCATGTGCTTTACTGCTCAACTACTTAACTGTAACAGGAAACAAGAAACTCTACTTGGGAAAAAAAGAGCATAGAACAGTGGTGGTATTCTACCGGCTTCGGCCTGGTTTAGGCGAACCGATAGTAAAAAAATGCTACCATTTAGCAGCTAAACCGGTAGTTTAAAAAAAGACAGCTACCAGTTCGGCTGAACCGGTATTTATTTATTTTTCCTCCCGATGATCAGCTGTTCTGACAATCAGCTGTGTCGAGATCCCCCTCGCTGTCTTACTGCTTCGCCTAGACTTCCCTGAGGCCCAAAAGGCAAAAGGGGGCATGCAGGGGGATGCTGTGTGCCCACCCCCCACACTCTGTTTTTTACCTCCTGGGCCTCAGGGAGCAAAAATGGGCTCCTAGGAGGCTTCACTGATGCCCAGGAGGCAAAAAAAAAATGGAGTGCAGGGGGGTGGGGTTCCTGCAAAAAAAGAAGAAGCCATGCCCACCCAGTCCCATGGCCATGCCCACCTACCCATGCCCCCAGAACCGGTAGTAAAAATATTTGCATCCCACCCCTTGCATAGAGTATATACTATATTCCAAGATCCAAATCTGTAAACACTGCCGTCTACTGGCTAAATACTACCCTAGGTGTTGCATAAAAACACACGCCAACAATGAATTCCAACAGACACACAGAGAGACACGTAGTCCTGGGAGCCCCACCTGTTCCTGCCCATCGTTTCATGATCCTTGACCACCACGTGGAGCTCAGCATTCTGGTCCAATGGAACCCCTTTCAGGTCCCACTCGAAGCCCTAAGAGAAGATGGGAGAAAAGTTGGAAGGAACTTCAGAACAGAAATTGAATCTGAAGTAGGATGATTGATTGATTGATTGATTGATTTAGCATAGGCTAAACTGAAAGGACTCGATCCACTCCATAAAACCTGGTCCATCCTCAACATAGAAAAGAAGGACTAGGGGGTGATATGATAAGCAGGTAAGATTCCAATATTGGGGGGGGGGGCAGCCACAGAGAAGAGGGGGGGTCAACCTATTCTCCAAAACAGGGGTTGCCAACTTTTTGGACCTCAGGGACAACCAAACTCATATTTTTAAATCCCGCGGACCAATAATATGAATTTTGAGTGACGATGGCTTGCTGACGTTGGTGGGAGAGAGAGATCTGATCTAACCTCGGAGGACTGGCGGTGATGTTTTCTCTCTCTCTCTCTCTCTCTCATACACACACACACATACACAAACACACACAGAGGTCCCTCACACACCTCCCCCCCTCCAAGGCAGCCACATTCCTAACCTGCTTTTCAGCTCCGTTCTCAGGGGGAGGGGGAGAGAAAGATTTGATCTAACTTCGGAGGGCTGGTGATGATGTTCTCTCTCTCTCCCTCCCTCTCTCTCCCTCTCCCTCCCTCTCTCTCTCCTTCTCCCTCCCTCTCTCTCCCTCTCCCTCTTCCTCCCTCTCTCTCTCTCTCTCCCTCTCTCTCTCCCTCCCTCTCTCCCTCCCTCCCTCTCTCTCTCTCTCTCCCTCTCCCTCCCTCTCTCTCTCTCTCTCACACACACACACACATACAGAGGTCCCTCACACACACACACACACACCCCCAAGGCAGCCACATTCCTAACCTGCTTTTCAGCTCTGCTCTCCGGGGGAGAGAGAGGGGGGGAGAGGGAGAGGGGGAGGGGGAGAGAGAGAGAGAGGATATCCTGAGATCCCAAATAAAGAATGACCAAAAACAGGGTGGGGGATTTCCCTGCAGACTTTTTTTGGAATTTTCCCAGGGTCTCTGCAGAAAAAGCAGAAGCAGCCTGGATTAATGGCTTTGGGGGGTGTTTTGGGGGTGACATTTCTCTGAGGACCACCAAACTTTTCTCATGGACCACCAGTGGTCCCCGGCCCACCGGTTGGCAACCACTGTTCCAAAAGACAGGACAAGGAGCAACGGACGGAAACTAATCAAGGAGAGAAGCAACCTGGAATTAAGGAGAAATTTCTTGACAGGGAGGACAATTAGTCAATTAATCAGTGGAACAGAAATTGACACCAGAAGTGGTGGGTGCTTCATCACTGGAGGAATTTAAGAAGAGATTGGACAGCCCTTTATCTGAAATGGTAGAGGTCCTCCTGCCTGAGCGGGAGGTTAGACTAGAAGACCTCCAAGGTCCCTTCCAACTCTGCTATTCTGGCAGGCGTGCTCTTCTCCGCCACAAATGGGGAAAGCTTTGGAGAAGCTTCTTTGGTGAGAAGCAAAACATTTTCAAGGACAAAAAGAAAGCAGGAAAGTCCTGTTGCTTTTTTGTTGCACCCTGACAGGGAGTGGGAGTGTGGCTCCGATGGCTGTAGAGGAAACTGGGGAAGGGCACAGGCCGGTTGGGCATTCAGAGGAAGACCCAGGCCCACCCCCTCTTCCCCCTAGGGCATGCAGGGAGGAACGGAGAAGGGAGCAACGTGGTTTACGGGGGAGGAAAGGGCCCTGACCCCCTTCATGGGCTGCAGTTGGAAAGACTATTTAAAAGGGAAAAGCACCTTTGGGACAGCCACGACTTGGATCAAGGGTCTTCAACCTTGCAAGTTTAAGACTTGTGGACTTCGACTCCCAGAATTCCTGAGCTAACATGACTAGAGGAGGAATTCTGGGATTTGATGTCCACAAGTCTTAACGCTGTCAAGTTGGAAGACCCGTAATGATTGAGAATCTCCATCGACTTAGTTGGGGACATTTCTAGTCCATTCTCTAGTGCAGAAGGGGACAGAATAACAGAGTTGGAAGCTTGGAGGTCTTCTTCTAGTCCAACCCCTTGCCCAAGCAGAAGACCCTCTACCATTCCAGACAAGTGGCTGTTTATTCTCTTCTTAAAAGCCTCCAGGGATGGAGCATCCACAACTTCTGGTGGCAAGCTGTTCCACTGGTTAATTGTCCTCACTGTCAGGAAATTCTTCCTTAGTTCCAGGTTGCTTCTCTCCTTGGTTAGCTTCCATCTGTTGCTCGTTGCCCTGCCTTTGGAATGCTTTGGAGAATAGGTGGACCCTCTCATGCCCCAGTTGGAGTCTGATTCGGAGGGGGAGATTGAGCAGCTGATAGGGAGTGGGAGTGTGGCTCCGATGGCTGTAGAGGAAACTGGGGAAGGGCACAGGCCGGCTGGGCATTCAGAGGAAGACCCAGGCCCACCCCCTCTTCATCCTAGGGCATGCAGGGAGGAACGGAGAAGGGAGCAAGGTGGTTTACGGGGGAGGAAAGGGCCCTGACCCCCTTCGTGGGCTGCAGTTGGAAAGACTATTTAAAAGGGGAAACTGCGCATGGCAAAGTTGCTGGAAGCAAAGTGTGCATTATCTTTGTTGAGGCTTATCTGGGTTTTGGCGTTCCCCCAACTGTGTGTGCCTCATTATCTTTTGGAAGTCTGCAAATTATTATCCTGGTCTGTGGCGTTAATTACTTCAACGTGGTTTGTGATGGGGTTTTTTTTTATTTCTACTTTAATCTGTATTTTGGGTCCGGACTGCATTTCTTCCCTTCGTAGACTGTTTTTGGAAGAGTTTGATCTCCCGCCGAGGATAATTGGACATTGGGGGCCAAATCGGAGGCATTAAAGGAAATTTATCTACTTTGGTGACTTTGTTATTTTTTGCGCCACGTCCCGGATCAACACTCAAATATTTCAAGACTGCTTGTCATGTCACACCTCAAAAGGCTTCTCGTTTCAGTTCACCGAAAGCGGCATGAGTGTCCTAGTGCCAAAGCTTTTGGCCCCCACCGATTTCCTTCTTCCCCTCCTTCCCCCAAGGAAATCCAATCAACAACCCAGATTCCCAGCCAGATTGCCTAAAAGTTTCCTACTCCTCAGAGGATGTGTGATAAACAGACACTATGGTCGGGGTGTGACAGCCCTGGCGAAGGAAACCCTAATTTAGTTCTAGACACTTCTCTCTTTATTGTCTCGGTTGAAGGGTGAAGTAGCTCCCTCGTTCCCTGGGAGAATGAAGAGGAAGGGATGATAAAAGGGCGGAAGTTGACAATCCTGGCTTCCCCACGGGAACAGAAAGTGACCTTTGAGGGGGGGAGGGGGGGAGGGGGTCAGAGGGGCATCGAGAAAACTATTAACTGATCACAAACATGCAACTCGCTAGGAGCAGCAGGCACAGAGTGTCAGCTTTGGAAGCCATATTAGCACCAGGCGCTTCCACACCGCCACATTCTTGAGCCTGGGAAAACGGGAGGCGGGAATTTCTCGGAGTGTATTAGAATAGAATAGAATAGAATAGAATAGAATAGAATAGAATAGAATAGAATAGAATAGAATAGAATAGAATAGAATATATGAAAATAATAGAATGGAACAGAATGGAACAGAACAGAACAGAATAGAATAGAACAGAATAGAATATATGAAAATAATAGAATGGAACAGAACGGAACCGAACAGAACAGAATAGAATAGAAAATATGGAATAGAATAGAATAGAATAGAATAGAATAGAATAGAATAGAATAGAATAGA